ACGTAGCAAAAGATTGTCAGTAGCTCGGCTAGGTGTGATTTGGTAGTTACTGGCGTTTTCATCTCCCAGGTTGATATACTCGTCACTATTAGCTAGAGTTCCTTTCACAATGATGATATAACTTGAATCCACTCTGCAATTTTAAAAGTGTTTGATGTGATTACTTTCGACGTATGTGCAAATTCAAGCTGTTGTTAAAAAGTATGATATCCTTTTCATTGCTGATGAGGTAATATGTGCCTTTGGGAGGCTCGGAACTATGTTCGGCTGTGACAAGTAGTATGGAATCATGCAAACCGGATCTTGTGATTGTAGCTAAGGTAAAAATTTCTTCACGGTGCATTGTGAAAACTGAAAAGGCTAGTCATCAACTTTAAATTCCCGACTAATTTTCCTTGATACGAATATTAGACAGGCACTATCTTGTGGATGCATGCCAATTGGAGCTGTTCATGTTAGTCCCCAAGTCTATGTTGTCATACATGATCAGAGCAACAAACTTGGTCGGTAGATTTTTTATTTTATTTTATTTATTTTAATTGTTTAGCATAAAATTGATATGGAGATTAAATTTTGGGGTGCATTCAATTTCTCTTTAATTGTTATTACTTTTGGCCCGTCTTCATTTTGAACTCGCTTATTATTTTAACTTCTCATCTATTAGTTGCTATATGTACATCACTATACGAATATCAATCATTTAGTAGATGCCGAGCTGCTCGAGGGCTCATGTGCTCGGCCTTTTGAAGTATTTTGTGATATTCTCAATTTGTTATCAGCTATGTTTCATAATAGCTCGTTTTTTGAAGTATTTTGAAGTAGATGTTCTTTTGATAATAGCTCGTTTTTTTCTCTTGGTAGATATCCTCAATTTGTTATCAGCTATGTTTCATAATGTGTCAGGCATGTTGTTTACCAATGTGCAACTACTATTGTGTGGATGTTGATGAGCGTTGTTTACTAGTGTGAAAACGGACTCAACGGAATGTGAGTCCATCAAGCACTATCGAGCGAGTTTCCAGTTCAGGAAAATAAGATCGAGATTATGAAATAATAAAAGACAAGTTCTCCACACCAAGCATGGGTTGCAATAAAAATACAGCTTGCCTATTGGGCTTAACAGCTCAGATTAGGGATTGGTTCAGTAGCTCGGTTATTTAGCTAAGCAGCCCAGATGGGGGGTTTTAATCTTACAGCTCGGCAATTGGGCTTAACATCTCGGATGGAAGGCTTGGTTAACAGTTCGGTTATTTGGCCTAACGGCTCGGTTATTATGTTTAATAGTACGGGTAAAGAATTATGATGGACAGCTCGGTTATTCTAAGGTTGCTTTTATCAAACAAGTCTATAAAATTTGCAGATTGATAGTTTGTTTGATAATGAGGGGGTAGAATAAACTCGGTTGACGTTTGGCTATGGGGTCAAATATTGAGCTGGTTATATGGGTTGCGCTCAATCGAACCCGAGCTCTAAATGAACTTGGGCGTCACCTTGTCATACAAAGTTTTAAAACCGAGCACTTGAGAAGCTCGGCTTGAACAAAAATTTTCTACAATCATCCTCGTGATAATTGAAGTACTTATACTTAAAAGATGCTAAAAATAACATATGAACATTCATTCCCAATTGTGAAAGAAAAGACGAGCTATCCATACTTGGAGAAGTTAAATTCTATTTAATGAGTTCATAGCACAAAGACGAGCTTTTCAACAAGCAGATGAAGTAGTACATGATAATAGCTCGGTGAGCCAGAGGTGGCGTGGTCAGATTGGTGAGCCGGAGTTAATCGAGCTCGGCATTGTCAATAGCTCGGCTAGGTGTGATTTGGTAGTTACTGGTGTTTTCATCTCCCAGGTTGATATACTCGTCACTATTAGCTAGAGTTCCTTTCACAATGATGATAAAAATTTATTTATATTTATTTAATTTTAGTAAATATTTCCAGGTGAAACGGAGGAGGAGTTCTCTACTCGGTTGGCCAATAACTTGGAAAATCTCATCCTTAAAGAGGAGTTCTCTAGCCTAGCAGAATTAGACGAGCAGAGGTAATCAAGTAGAGCGAGCAGAGGTTGCCGAGCATAATCAGTTGAGCTATATAAGTATGGTTGAAATATTCATATTGCCGAGCTATATTACAACTTCTTGGCCGAACCATAATTAAAGTTTTTGGATTATCGAGCCCTCTTCCTGGTTTCTCACCCGAGCCGTCGATCAGAGAAACTCGAGTCACAGAGCCCCCCTTCGCGATTCCTCAGCCGAGCTATGTTGAATTGTAGACTTCTGACGAGGTTTTTCACCCGAGCAGCTGACTGCGAAATCTGGATTGCCGAGCTCCGATTATAGTTTCTTGGCCGATTCATAATTAACATATCCGAATCGTCGAGCTCTCTTCATGGTTTTTAAGCCGAGCAAATTGCCTCTTCACGTCGACCGAGTAGCTCACCCACCTTATTAGCCCAGCAAATTGCTTCTTCACGCCGACCGAACAGCTCACCCACCTTATTAGCCGAAAAAATTGCCTTGATAAATTACCGAGCAGATCGCTTACTTTATTAGCCGAGCTCCTTGCCTTGATAAATTACCGAGCCAATTGCTCACTCTGTTCGCCGAGCTCCCTGCCTTGACAAATTACCGAGCAGCTCGCACAATTTGTTAGCCAAAGATGACTTGAAACCATTACCATTTTCATCATCATCCCTCTCTTCTAAATCTCTGAATGATTTCTGACAAATTATCATCAAACCATTATTTTGTCTTTTCAATACAATATCCAAATTTGATTTTTTTTTTTTTTTTTTAAGGAGCTATGTCTGAAAAATCCATATAAGTTATCTATTAAAATTTGTAAATTTAATAACTAAAATGAAGAGAAAAGGCTGTACCTCTCTGAGCTCAGAAAAACTAACAGCATAGAAAGTAAGAGCAGCAGCTGCAACAATGGCTGCCACTGGAAGACCTATTTGCTGAAGCCCATCCATTGAGTTTTCTTTATATCTAAGGCTTGATTTTTTTATTTTTTTTTCTTTCCCTTTCTTTATTCTTTCTATCTCGTTTTTATTTATTTATTTATGGATAAGCAAGTTGGGGAGGAGTGGCATTAATAGTGTAAGAGATAATATATTAATATTTCTTTTTCATTTATTTATTTTTATAAGTAAAATTGTTCTCAGTGTCATTATTTTCCATACACCAATGGGAAAAAATCATATTTTACTACAACACACATTTTGATTTAAATGGTAACAAAAAAATCGACTGAGAGCAATGTCGTCACTGGTAGGGTCGAATTTATTAAAAAATGCTTATGTTCCCAATAGTAACTCTTCTCAACAAGGTTACCACAAATTCTAGTGTGAGACAGCTAAAACGTCAGACAAATGACCCGTATACTAGTTGAACAAAAATGTTTTAAAGTATGATATTTTCCTATCAAAGTATGCATACTTATAAAAGAAGTATGTTGAATTATTAATTCGGCCTAATACAAGACCAACTCGGAACCTTACAACTCAAAATTAAGTTCATCTTCAATATGAGGCTAAATTGATTATTTCAAATTTGGAGACCACATTTGAATTAAGCTTTTTAGTCATTTTATGGATGAATGAATCTGTCTATTTTCAAAAGTCAAGTTGGGGGGACTGAGCAAACTTTGAATGGCTGTAGAATATGGTTTAATCAAACAATTTAATTATTGCAGCCAACCAAAAGTCAATATTCTCTTGTGGCCAGCTCTAATTGCTCTAATTGCTTTAAACTGCTCCTCCTCTGCATTCAAAATATGTAAAAGGAAGTACACCACATTGATAAATACTATAACCAATTATCAAGGTGATCATTTTTGGAATACATATCAAAGTAGCATCGACCACTTCATTTTTATTAAAAATAAAGTTTATATATTCACATGTTTCTGCAATTTTACCAAGCTATGCCTTTTCTCATTCAAAATTTCCAACTACTCTTTGACCTCCTTTGTTCTTTTCTATGCGTCACTTCTACCATTTTCTAAATTTCTTATCTACCAATAAAACGTAAGACATGCATGAAGAATTGAACAAAGGATGGAAAGAAAATATGTCAAAGTCGACAACATGATTACATTTATGCTTCCTGCCAGCGGCTGCCTTCAATGGTGCTATAACATAAAAAAAAAAAAAAAAAAAAAAAAAAAAAAAAAAAAAAAGTAGCCACCACAAAAACATATTTGTTTCATTTATAGTGTTTCCAAATTATTTCATGCTAACATGTATGTTAACCACTTAATGCTTCATGTTAGACAAATTGTTTAAACTCAGATTATATCATTCCCCATTCCATTCACCACTCACCTTACCGTATTGGCTGTTGGTTGTAATGATGATTCTCTTTTTTCCTAGCGCCTGCTCCTCGCGGCAGCCTCCGTAGCAGTTGCTCTTGCTGCAACATTTGTTTCTTTCTCGAATTTCTTCTTCTTAACAGACACCGCTTCTTAAGTTTCTCTTTGACACCAACAACGAATGCATCCTCCTCATCCAGGGGTTTGGGTGCAAGCCCATTAGGAACAATGGAGGTGTTCGGTTGATCTTGAGGCTCCTTTGTCACTTGGGATGACTTGTCCTTCTTCTCCTTCTTGGCACTTTTTGACTCACCGGGAGCTTTGTTGTCCTTCCTGACATCTTCATTTGTTTGTCCCTCTTTTCTGTCTTTACAATCTGCAAGGTGAACAGAAAATGGTAAGAAATGAGATATACACCTCACCAATAAATCAACATAGCATCATCTCAAATACGCTTTCGACATTTTATTCTTTTCCATCAAATCACACTCAAGAAATTACTACTAAAATAAAATAATATATTGAAGACCATTCAATTTCCAAGGAGACATGCGTAAAAGTTATGTAACGCACGATAAACCAAGTAGGTCTATATACAGCCTGATCCCAAATCAAGAGTTATAAACCAAGGAATTATGAATAACGAGCGATGGCAAATAACAAATGCAGAAGAATATGGCACCTGAGTCGCAATTCTAGATATTGCTTTCTCCAGCTGTACTCCTTCCTTCTCGAGCTGCGATTTTGCTTCCACAAGAGCAGCATCTTCAATCATATTCGACTTAGTGTTACTATTAGACGTATCTTTGGGTTCTGGAATGAAAAAATGAGAAATTTGAGTGTCGCATTTATTTTATTATTATTTAACATATCAATTTATTTCTCACTGAATGAAAAGAACAAGTGGAACCTTGGTCTGTTGCCTCCCAAAATCTGAAATATTTATATTCATCACGTCATAATGCAAGTGAATGAAGAGATATACTATCATAACTTATCACTAAAAGCAAGTAATAAGGGTATGTGAATCACGATGCACATAAAAATGAAGAAAAATGTATGTGATGGTGAATCAAGGACCATCTATGCAGGACAATTATATTTTCTTTTGCTACTGGTTATAGTTATGTTCCTATGAATATTGATTGATGACAATAAGACCACGGCTAGAAGAATTTGGAAGTCCAAGGTTTTAATTTCTATAGGTATGGTTTCGACCGAACTTGATTTCTCAACTATCAATCAGGAAATAAGTATTTGTTTAGATCATGTCGGCCAGAAAAGCCAAAGGATCTTTGGGTTCATCACTATTTATTCCAAAGCAATTATATACTTATAGCAAGAAAAAGTTAAAGGTTTGAGAACTGCTAAAGTCAACTAAAGTACAGTATGAAGATAGTCGCATAAAAGAAACATCTAAATATTTTTATTTTCTTCTATGGTTCATACTTTTTACTCGGTTCTCATTTTTTCGTTCAACTCTACTCCATTGGCCAAAATGGGTTAGCACACAACAAATAACAATTCGTATATAAACAAACTGCATAAGAAGTTTAAGAACTTAAAACCAAAAATAACAATTCAATAAAACAAAGGGGAAAACAGCTTTTCGTACCTTGCCGTATCCATTCACCAATATCAGATAAAGCCATTACTGCTGCACATGTGGCCACTTCTGCAGCATCTACTCCAACCAACGTAGAAAGGAAAGCAGCCTAAAGATACAGTAACAAACCAAACTCTTCCCATCACACATCCAAAACCATTGAACCAAAACAACACAAGGCCTATCATTTTGGATTGAGTAGCAGATTACTTTCTAGAAAAAAAATCATCACCATTCACCAAATCATGAATAACAGAAAAATGAGGCATTTTCAAGAAATTCTATAAATGTTAAATTTCACATGAAGCTAGCAACATTTTTTTCCGGACATTACCCTTTTACCAAGAAAATAGATGAGTGTGCTACCTGCGCCAAAATACGGTTGCTCGCCTCGGCAAGTGGTGAGAGACTCATCCTTTTGGCAGCTACTCCTTCATTTTGGGAACCTGACTCAGCATCCATCTTGGCAGATTCAGAAGGGCTGCGCCAAATGGAAGCTTTACAGACGGAGCTACGCATTGCTTTGCAGATTTCCTGCCAACATGCTGGGAAACTTTTTTCCAATCATCTTCATAGTTCATGACGAATTGTAGAAGCTGCAAAGTTTCTTTATCCGTCCGGTCTATCTTGGCTTCTTCACTAATCTCGACCCTCTTCTAATGCACAAAACTCAAACCCAACCTGTAATACGTAGAACCTCACGCATAGTGTCACATTGTGCTACTCACAAGTTGAGAAAACAGTTCAGATTTCGACATTCAACAGAACAGAAAATAAATCAACAATTTTTTCACCAATAAAGCTAAGAATCAAAAACCAAACCAAAACAATTCAGAAGAAACTGAGGTACAACATTAATCAAGTAATTTATCATCCACGTCATGCAAATGTGGTAGGGAAAAGGGGGAAACACACACACACACACACACACACACACACACAAATGAAAAACCTTGTCAGATGCGAAGGAAAAACACCTTGTCAGATGCAAAGCACGTAACTGTGCAAGGAATTTTGCAGCCATTACAGACCATCTTCATTGGATCAGAAACATCAGCCCTGAGCTGGGACGGATTTTGTCTCCTTATCCTCCAAATTCAGCTTGGGTCTAGCGGAGCCAGTGCAATTTATCAAACCGTACCCTTCAATGGCATAATCTATAGAAAATTGAAAACCCTCTCAACAGAGCCAACATCGCCGACCAGCGCCTTCCGCACATCGACGAAGGTGATTTTCTGACTTAAATCTTCTCGGATGCGTGACGTTACTTAAGTACTTGTAAACCCTAGGGTTCTTCGAGGGTGACCGACCATCGAACAACTCTGGAAGAAACCTCGCGTTGCATTCATGGACGCCGTTCCAGGAAAACCAACCTAATCAAAGCAACAAGAACAATCAAACATTATATAAATCAATTTTTTTCTAAAAAATGATTGGATGAAAAATTGACATACAAAAATAGTTAGACTTCTCCAATCAAATCTCAAAACGCAAAAAATGCAGTAAAAAGTATTGAACCGAACTGCAAACTCAAGTTTTTACCCATTTCCTCTCTCCTCAAAACCCAAATTTGAGTTTGACTGTAGCAAAAGGCATTTCTTCCTTTTATCTTTCATTTTAGTCTTTTATTTTATCAAAATATATCTTTTGTATTAATTATATTATTTATTTATTTCTTATTTCGAATAAATTGGTATATATGTATATTTTAATGTTATATAAAATGTTAATTACTCAAATAATAAAAATATATTTTATTTATTTTTATTTAACATAATTTGCATATATGAATATGTAATATTATATAAATGTTTATTACCTAAATAGTAATCAAAAAAAATTATGTATAACAACACGAGATGCTTCATAAGTTCAAACAAAATGATACAAATTACATAATACAATGATAAAAAAGTAACAGTTTTTAAAATGTGAATATATGCGCTAGACCATACATGGTCTAAAGTGTAAATTTTGTACTAAATCATAAATTTTCAAAAGTAACAGTTTTGATTCAATCGATACATAGATGTATATATATCTTCTTCACTTTTAAAATGTGAATATATGTACATAAATGATTCAATCGGTCTATCATTTAATTTGCACTAATACAATGAAAAAAAGTAACAGTTTTTAAAATGTGATGCGCTAGATCATATATGGTCTAGAGTGTAAATCTGCACTAAATCATATATATTTTCAAAATTAACCGTTTTGATTCAATCGATACATAGATGTGTAGTCCTCTCAAACATTATTTTTTATGTAGTATTTATTAAAGTAATTGTGTTTACAATTTTTGTATTAAAAATATATTTAACACGTGAACTTTTTAGTTCCTATAATTTTTTTTCCAGAAATCACTCATTATTTTATCTCAAGATTACCTATTAATTTACCAATTGAGTTACATTTCTTACATATTAAATATCATATAATTAAAATATTTCTTGTTTTATATGTTCAATATCATACTTATATATTATATTAAAAAAACTATTATAGTAAATAAAAAAGTCATTTAAAATTAGAATAATAAAGATTTTTTTTTCTAATCTACATGTATAAATGTACAAATAACTATTGTCTATCACCTCAAATTTACACATAAAATTAATAAGAACAAAAAACTAACAAGCGTTTAACAATTCAGTTCGATTACATCGATAAGTATATTTTTAGAAGGTTTATATTTAGTTATATTAATTATATTATTTTTGTTTATTAGTTTGTTTTATATTTATTAGTACGTGTCAAAACTTAAGGTAGGTGAGTTGTTCGGTCATGATAATCAACCATGGGTCCTCTATATTGATGGATCCTCAACAGCCAACCGAGCAGGCGCAGGGATAGTTTTAGCTGACCCAGACAACCGGTTATTCTGTCACTCAGTGAAGTTTCTCTTCCCGGCAACCAACAATGAAGCCGAATATGAAGCCTTGCTATCCGGATTGAATTTGGCTGAATCCATGAACGTGAGACACCTTAAAATCTTCTCGGACTCTCAACTCCTTGTCAATCAAATCAATGGTTCATATGAAGTCAAAGAACCTCGGTTGACACCTTATATTTCTTTGGCCAAACGGAAGTTATCAAAATTCTCCGCCGACCTCGAGCACATCCCCCGAACTCTTAATGTTCAAGCCGATGCCTTATCTCGGCTGGCGTCCAATACCGGGATGGAGAGCGCGGAGTATGTCCAAATCGGCCAGCAAGAACAACCGTCAACCGTCTTTTCCGAGGTTGCAACCGTCAATCCGGTAACATCACAAAAATCACCAACTTGGATGGATCCTATTATCCACTACTTAGAAACTGGGGCCTTGCCCCCAGATCCAAAAGAAGCTTGTGCACTTCGGATCCGAGCAGCTCGGTACACGTTGGACAACGGAACTTTGTTTAAAAGGGGATACACCGTCCCACTTTTAAAATGCGTGAACGAGACAGAGTCACAGTATATTCTTGAAGAAGTCCATGAAGGGATTTGCGGAAGTCACCCCGGTGCTCAAGCATTATCTTATAAAATCTTGCGACAGGGTTATTACTGGCCAACCTTAAAGACCGACGCCGCTGCATGGGTTCGTAAGTGCCCAAAATGCCAAATATTCGCTCCTAATGTCCATCAGTCTCCCGAAGAACTCAAATCGATCTACAGTCCTTGGCCTTTCGCCAAATGGGGGATTGATCTCATAGGTCCTCTACCGACCGGGAAGGGAGGCGTCCGGTTTGCAATCGTGGCGGTCGATTATTTTACTAAATGGGCCGAGGCCGAACCTTTAGCCACGATAACCGAGCAGAAAGTCGTCGATTTCGTGTGGAAGTCAATTATCTGTCGCTTCGGGGTGCCGAATTCCATCATAACCGACAACGGTAAACAATTTGAAGGCAAACGACTTGAATCCCTGTGCGAAGAATACAACATCAAACATTTTTTCTCTTCGCCTTATCACCCGCAATCTAACGGTCAAGTTGAAGTTGTGAACAAGCTCATAAAGAACGGCCTCAAAGTCTGACTTGACGCTGCCAAAGGAGCTTGGCCTGAGGAGCTGCCACACGTCCTATGGGCCTACCAGACAACAACTCGAACTTCTACTGGCGAGACCCCATTTTCCTTAACTTACGGTTCGGAAGCCGTGGTCCCAGTCGAGCTCGGAGAACCGACGTACCGAGTTCAACATTTCACCGAAGAGACCAACTCGGAAAACATAAAGGCTAATCTGGACCTGTTTGAAGAACATCGTACCCGGGCCGAACTCAGGAATGCTGCTTACAAACAAAGAAATGAGAGATATATCAATTCTAAACTCAAACTTCGTTCATTCCTAGTTGGAGATTTGGTCCTCAAACGTATAATGGGGCCTGACCCCGGACCACTCAGACCGAGGTGGGAAGGACCCTTTCAAATCATTAAAGTCCTACCTCATGGGGCCTACCGAATTGCTCATCCTGATGGGACACCGCATCAATATCCCTGGAATGTTGTGTTCTTGAAAAAGTTCTATCAGTGAAGGATCCGAAGTCGGATAGCCGACCTTCCTTTTGCACGGACCTTCTTTTCGCCTCAGTGAATGTGCGAAGTCACCCTTTTGATGTACTAAAAAGCCTGTCGGCTTGCGCTTTTGAAAATCTGAGCAGCAGCTCGATATCGATGTAAATACTTTGAAGTTCAGTTCTATGAATCTTTTGTACCGATGTAAGCATTGCGACACTCGGTCTAGCTGATACCCCATAATATGTCCGAACACCACATATGCTCGGATGGGGGTGACACTCGTCAAACGTCATTTCAACACACATGATTTGACGGGTCCCGAATATAACCGAATACAAAAAATATAAATCGGTTGGGGCCATTCCATAATCGAACTCTGACGAAGTTCGGTGACTTCCATTTTATTTCCCGTACAGCCCTAAAAATGTGTTAAGTTTCGCGAAGTTATTTGAAAACTCGCATATCGACTTACACTTGTGGCTGAAGTTATCATAAAAACTAAAGATCAAAGTGGAACTCGGAAACTATTTTTACAAACGCTCACGACTCGGTTACTGATATAAATAAATCCGAGTTGAAGCGATTCACTGTATAATCCGAACCGAGTTCAGAAC